GGTTGATCGACATGTGAAAGAATTCATTACATAATTATCACCGGGTACACATATCAATCATCCAATAGTAAGCATGTGAAAATCTTGTTTACATTGATAGTAAATCTAATAAGTACTTAATTAATTCTCCTTTCACAATTGTAACTTGGAAGGCCAATTTTGTTAGGATCAAATAAATTTCAAATGCTGATAATTTTATTTTTTGAAATGTCAGTTGTAAATCTTATCATGAGATGAGCCGAAGAAGATCACGTCCTAGCGAATTTCCTAGTAAGTTAATGGAATTAAAGTTTGCAATATATTACATACTTTACGAAAAAAAGTTGGTAAATTTCCTTTCTTATGCGTAACTTTTGATCAGTCATCACGGCTTCAAAATTAGATGTTACAATCGATTATTTTTTAGGCACACGAGATACTATTCCCATGTGACCATAGGGACTTCCCCCGCTTGTAAAGATACCCAAAAAACAAATCACAAAATGGAGCTATCGAAGTTTGGCACCATCGCCCCAACCTATACTTCCTCCTTGCTAGCCTTTGGTGCATATAAGTCACGTTTTCACAGAAGGCGAGACCGTTTAGACGTCCTTTTTTCGGCGTGCCACGAGCTTCCATATACACATCACCTCCGTCTATCAAATCAATGATTAGTCACACCGATATCCAAGGTTATACCACGAGACTTTTGTGCCAAATAAATACGTATGTATTATTAAAATAATAATAATAAATACACATATATTCCTTGTCAAACATAGATAGCTCCCCTCTCTCTCTCTACATGTAATCTCTCTCAGGTGAAAGCAACCCCAGTTTCGTCCAGTCTACAGCACCTCCCCTAGAAAATTTATCAGTGGGCCGAAAAAGTCATCTCTCTTGAATACTACTTTACTTGCCTGACAGCAGAAAGCCAGCCCTGCGCCTCCGCGTCATCTCCGTCTTCCTCTCTCTCCCTCTCTCTCTCTAAGTGGGTCACACAGAGATCTTGTGCCTCACGCGCAGAGCACAGACATTCCCGCTCTCTGGAAAGATCGTCCAGGGAGACCCAGAGGAAAAAGACAAGAAGTAGAAGGAGAAGGAGAAGAAGGAAGCATGGGCTTTTGCTTCTCACCCGCTTCAAGATCCGTCTCTACGTTCTCCAACATGAGCGTTCTGCTCGCGTTGTTGCTCTCTTGCAGCTTCTTCGCTTCCACAGGTTCACCACATTCTTCTTCATTTCTTCTTGTTCTGGTTGGTCAAACGTGTAGCTGCTTTTCCATCTTCGTGTTTGTAGTTAACCTTAGTCAGAACGAACTCCCGTGAGTCGACTGATGCACGAATGATCATACGGGGATATGGGATGATCTTCCCTGCATGCGTGCTGGGTTGATTGTTACGGAAGATATCTCGGAACCGGACGAGTTCCTTAGAATTTTGGTGCGGTTGACGGGATGGGCCAAGTCGTTGAGTAACCAAGATTGTTACTATTTTAACATTGAGTCGAAAGATTTTGTTGTTTGGGAACTATTTTTGGGTTTCTCTTTAATCGCATTGCCTAATAATGTGTGAACTTGCACTGAAGGAGCTGTTTTGTGATTTTTTTTCTATTTCAGAAGCTTATGATCCTCTTGACCCAAATGGTAACATCACGATCAGATGGGATGTTATGAGCTGGACTGCCGATGGCTATGTTGTAAGTACTGTTCCATTGTTTTTATTGGTATTCGTCGATAGGTGACTCGAGTTTGTCCTCTTTCCTTCCTCTCAGATGGTTGTAGGAGTTCTTGATCAAGTCAAATATCGATTCTCATCTTGTTTGGACTCTGCTCGTAGTCTTGTATGAAAGCACATCTTGTTCTTGCTTGAACTAGTAAAATGATTCTGCTCTTTTCTGGGTCATGTGCTAAAGTCCCATCTTTGAACATTTCATCTTCTCATTGCCGAAAACACTTGGTGCAACTTCTCGGATTCTACTTGCATTCATTTAATTTGGAAATGCTCCGTCGATTTTTTCAAACACGTGTTTAGGTCTTGCACTGAGCTGCATCCTTTGGAAACCCAAGGTCACTCATTTGATTGGGAAATTTGATCGTATCGCTCGATCCAACAGGGTGGGGATTGATTTCAGGGCCTGTCTTTTCCCTTTTCCTTTTAGTTTTGGATTTCTTTATCACTCATTCCGGATTAGATATCCGTATGCGGAATTGTGCTCTTCGCTTGTAACATTATGGACGCAGAGGCAATTGGAGCATTAATGCCACAATCATATCCTTCTTTCTTCCTTCTCTGTTGCTTATAAGAGTATCTCTGCTTGGGGAATTATAACTTGCATATTGTTAAATCATGCAGGCTGTTGTGACGATCTTCAACTTCCAGCAGTATCGTCACATCCAAACTCCTGGATGGTCTCTGGAATGGACATGGGCGAAGAAGGAGGTAATATGGAGCATGTTGGGTGGCGAAACGACAGACCAGGGGGATTGTTCCAAATACAAAGGGAATGTACCCTATTGCTGCAAAAAGAATCCTACAGTTGTAGATTTGTTGCCGGGAACCCCGTACAACCAACAAATCGCCAACTGCTGCAAAGGAGGAGTCATTAGCTCATCGGTTCAAGATCCTGCAAATGCGGCGAGTGCATTTCAGCTGAGTGTGGGGGCTGCTGGAACCACCGTTAAAACGGTCAGAGTGCCTAAGAACTTCACTCTTAAAACACCAGGGCCTGGTTATACTTGTGGGCCTGCTACAGTAGTTAAACCTACCAAATTTGCCACCCCAGACAATAGGAGAGTTACGCAAGCACTAAGTAAGTTATGAGTAAGAGATATAGATGATTATTCTCGTATTGGAAGTTTGCATGTCATCTTTGCTAAGTGAGCATCAGTTATAAGTAGGATATATACTTCTGTAGCATGTTTGTTTACGTTCTCCTCACTCTGCAGACTATTCTAGCACCTACTCAATTTTGCATTGATAGTATGAAACAATGAACAAATTTTTGTACTTCAAATGAAGATATCAGTTCTACAAACAATTTCTCATAAACAGTGAACCTATGTGTGGTTATCTGTTTATCTAGCATCATAAGAGCAGAGTTCTATGTGCTTTATGTTCAAGTAATGACAGATAAGAAGCCTCACTTTGCTTTAATAACATTTAAGAACGTATTAGTTATTAAAATTTACTTTTCTGCTTTTGATTTAGGTTATTGTCTTATGTCAGACCCAATATAGCTCCAACTGAAATTCTCAGTCTAATCATGCTTCTTTTCTTCGGCAGTGACATGGAATGTTACATGCACATATTCACAGTTCCTGGCCCAAAAAACTCCCACTTGCTGTGTCTCACTGTCATCATTTTACAATGACACTGTGGTATCCTGCCCAACATGTGCTTGTGGCTGCCAGAACAATGCTACTCAGCCTGGGAGCTGTGTGGAGTAAGTTCTCTTCACTTCGCCAACATTGTTTTCTTATAGGGCTTTGTGTTCTTTCTTTGACTTCATAAAATTTTTAGGCTCATCAGAAATCACTAGAATTCTCAGCATTTATCAGTCATTCAAGAAGTTTGGTTGGCCTCAGCTTGTGGCATGTTTTGCTGATTATTTACAGGCCAAACTCGCTATATTTAGCGTCAGTTGTTTCCAATGCTGGAAGGAACAGTCCTCTCATTCAATGTACGAGTCATATGTGCCCAATCAGAGTGCACTGGCATGTTGAACTCAATTACCAGGCGTACTGGAGGGTTAAAATCACAATTACGAATTTCAACTACAATATGAACTACAGTCAGTGGAACTTAGTCGTTCAGCATCCGAACTTTGACAATCTGACACAGATTTTCAGCTTTAACTACAAGTCATTAACACCGTATGCAGCAATAAGTGAGATCTCTTTCTCTGGTTACCCCTGTAATATATTATCTGGGAGATGCATTGTGCCATAATAAACCAAATCCCATGTCACCATTTCTCTGGAAATGCACCTGCCTTTTACATGCTAAGCATTCTCTCGACCTTTTTTTGAAACAGATGATACTGCCATGTTATGGGGAATCGAGTTCTATAATGATCTGCTTATGGAAGATGGCCCTTCTGGCAATGTTCAGTCGGAACTTCTATTTGGAAAGGATGCATCAACTTTTACCTTTGAGAAGGGCTGGGCTTTCCCTAGAAGGATCTATTTCAATGGGGATAACTGTGTGATGCCTCCTCCAGATGCCTATCCATCGCTGCCGAACGCAAGTATTCGATGGGGTGTCTCAAGATTTAGCCTAGCAGTGATCTTATTGGTGCTGGTACTTCACTTGGGGCTTTTTTAACGGACTAATTCAGTGGGCATATCCGTACTCTGTTGATCCAATTTTTGACCTCACAAGATTGATGACGGAATCTATGGTTACATGATGATTTTCATTCCAGGGGGTGACGTTGTCAAGTGATCAGATTGCCTTACGGTGCATTGTCACTTTCACAGAGACCACATTGTTTCTTTTTACATTTTTGTACCAAACTGATGTGTCCAAAACTTATTTTGTACTTCACCTTATATCTGTAAAATAGTTGTTGGGCCAAGTTGGTGTTACCTACTATTGACAGCAATGTAAATTGAGATCTAATGCATTACAGTTTGTGTTTCCTGTACTCTGTCTGATGCATAACGTTCATGTCATTGGACTGTCAAATGCCTTGGATACTAGGAAGGCGAGTGGAAGAGCCGGAAAGAGAAAAAAGAAGAAAGAACAACACACCACACACAAGTTAAAGAGCTTTACATTAAATCTGTGTTCACTAACATGAAGTAAAGGCAAGTCAAACTTCAATGGGATCAAGCCATGAATTGATCATGTTCTGCTTCTTTATCAAATAGCCGAATTTTACGACGAAGTTTGTTCGACTATCATGCACCGTATTTATCTGTCAAGGAATCGTGAGTTTGTATACGTTACTCTCAATAATCCGATCTGACACTGTGTTATCAAAACTGCTGAGAATTGCAGCATGTAAAGGAGGGGGAAAATGAATTTGAATACTTGGCAACTCGTACTCCTGGAAAACAATCACCAAGCAGCAAATATTATGAGAAGAACCCAAGAGACTAAAGTCGAGAAAGGGAGTAACTTTCGACGTGCTGAATTTGGCAGAAAAGGGTATGCATCTGGTGGGGGCAGCATGCACTCGTCGCCATTGAAGTAAACCTTCCTCGGAAATGCCCAACCTTGCTTAAATGTAAACGTGTTCTTGTCCTTCTGGAGAAGTACCTCGGACTGAACATTCCCAAGTGGCCCCGCTTCCATCAGCAGGTCATTATAGTACTTCATACCGTAGAACATCCCCGTGTCATCTGCATATAGAGTGAAACACAGATTAGTTCATTAAATGCCCAGCTCATGAAATGGTCCATGAACCACAAATAGGCACACTCACTTATGGATTCATACGGCACGAGAGGCTTGTAATCGAAACTGAAAACTTGGGTCACGTTGTTTAGGTTGGGATGCTGGACTACGAGAGACCAAAGCGTGTAGTTTATCCGATAATTGAAGTTTGTGATTGCAATCTTGACGCGCCAGTAGTCCTTGTAGTTGAGCTTCACGTGCCAGTGTACACGGACCGGGCACATGTGGTGCGTGCATTGTAATAGAGGTGCATTGTCTTTTCTAGGTGTGTTTACCCCTGCCATGCTTAGAATTTTGGAGTCACTCCTGCATCACCAGTAGCCATATCAAGTTTATTTACTCCAGCAAACAGGTTTCAGGGCGATCCTATTTTGGTATTTATTGGCTTACTTGACACAACTATTCTTGTTCTGGCAACCACAGGCACAGGAGGGGCAAGGAGTGATGGTTTCATTGTAGAAAGATGAGAAAGAGACACAGCAGCTGGGGTTTTTGCTAGCCAGGAACTGGGAATAAGTGCAGGTCACATTCCATGTCACTGCAATTTAAGAGCACACAGAAGGTATGTCAGAAGTCACAACCACATGTTCAGTTTTACGCTATGGTTAATTCTTCGCAAGGGAGCTGCAGAATTGCATAAGAAATTAGTAAATCTTGCAAGAACCAGGAAATACATGTCAATGAGGTGAACCGGTTATGCATTGCCTTTATTCTTTTAGGCTAAGTTGAGACATTCCATCATTAGAACAACATATCAATCAAATTCTGTTCGTACAACAGGGTTGAAATTTCAAGATAAAAAGATTGTGCAAAGCGAACTCACTCAATGCCTGAGTTTTCCGGCGCTTGTCAGTGCTAAGGAAGTTGGTGGATGGCACGACCTTTGCAGGCCCACAGGTGTACCCGGGTCCCGGACCAAGTAAAGTGAAGTTCTTCGGGAGCTTAACCGTCTTGTTTGAAGTACCCGATAGGCCGACGCTGACTTGGAAAGCAGAGACCGAAGCTGATGGATCTTGACCCCAAGCGGCGACAACCCCGCCTTTGCAGCAATTTGCGTACTGCTGGTTGTAAGGGACGCCAGGGAGCAAGTCCACGACTGTGGGTGTTCTCTTGCAGCAATGAGGTATAGCGGCTTTGAACTTGGAGCAGTCGCCTTGTTCTGTGGTTTGAGCACCCACCATGGACCATATTATTTCCTTCTTTGCCCAGGCCCATCCGAGGGTCCAGCCGGGGCTCATTATGTGTCGGTACATCTGGAAGTTGTTCATCGTGACGATCGCCTGCATTAACCGGTAGCATTAGGAAAGGAAAACGGTACATTTCGTTTTCTTTTCTAAGATCAGTGCAGTGGTACTGGTAGTCGAGACGACTAAAATCACAGAGGCTATGAAGATGGGTTTCATTGAAGAATCTAGATTTCTCTGGTACTTGGGTTTACGGCACGCGAAATTAGCGAGACTGGATTCATCAGTACTTACCACATAACCGTCCGTGGTCCAGGACATGATGTCCCATTTAATTGTTACGTTGCCATTCGGATCCAGGGGATCATATGCAGCTGCAGCGACCACAAAACACAATTTTAGAGCCAACGAAAGCAATCGCGGGATAATTCATCAATTCCCCTCTGGGACATAGAAGCTTACTTACCCGCATGGAAAACGAACACAAAAAGAAAGGCTAGGACGACTGATCTCATATCGAGAAACACAAATCGATCACGTCTATATTGCAAAGGATGTGGGACGCGAGCGTGCTCTCATGCAAATTCCAGCGAATTCTGCACGAGAACTGCTGAAGCGAACCTCGCAATATATCTGGTGATGAAGAGCTTCTAACCAGGAGATGCAATGGCCAATGGGGAACACTGTGTGGTTAACCGCTTATTAATTGAAAAATTTGAACAAGCTGTGAACAGAATTCTCTTAGGTACGTATTTGGAGATGGCTCACCAACTGGTGGTTGGACACTTATACACACACACACACTCTCTCTCTCTCTCTCTCTCTCTCTCTCTCTCTCTCTCTCTCTCTCTCACTGCTTTCTGATTGGGGCTTTCCATATCTTCAAGCAACAGCTTTGTGAGAATGGGCGGGAGAGAGAGAGAGAGAGAGAGAGAGAGATGGAGAGAGATGTCATGTGTGTAGCTAAAGCTGAGAATAACTTGCCAACCTTCCTGGTTGAAATTGAAAGGGACAGGTTCAATAGAACAATAACAGCAATGACTACAAAGTCCCATCCTAAATGAAAGGAAACATCCTACTTTTGCCTCCATTGAGAAAGTTCAATGAATAATCCCTAGCAATGTAAAGAGCAGCAGATCAGACTAGATGGTTACGTGGCGGCTAAATTTGCACGAAGATTGATATATAAAAGAAATTATGCGCATGACCACAAGTCGTGTCGTCCCGGAACATGGAACATATAGGACACGAGGGTTAGGAATAAGCATGGCTTAACTATATCTTCCCCTGAGAATTGGGCTTTGGTTCTGCTCCTACTGAAGAAAAAAGCAAGGCTAGTCTTCACGAGTCCCTCAGCCAGAGAGAGAGAGGAATGAGTTAAGGGGAAGTAGAGAGCGTAGGGACAAGTAGAAAGTAGTGAGTCATGCTCTTTCGATTTTTGATAGAGAAGACGTACCCACTACCGTGTTACAGACAGACGGGCGCGAATGCATCCCAAGTAGAACTTCTCAAATGCCCCTCTCTCTCCTTTTGCAGTCTCGGGGGCATCTGATGGGCCTATGTGAATTTGGGGAGGAAAAAGATACTAATAATGCCATATCTTCCATACGACTCTCGCTCTGATACTATAACTTTTAGCCGATTATTTAACTGTTATAACTTTCTAAAAAAAACCGATTACTTAAGAGACATTGGTGATTTTCCTTTCCTGAAAATCCTACATGTCATCAATTTACTATCAAATCATCCGATGTGGCTCGCCATAAATTAATGCCACGTAAGATTTTTCGGCAAAAAAATTGCCGATGTAATTTTAGTGATATGCTTTTATAAATTATAACACTTAAATGATTATTTAAAAAAGTTATGACGGCAAAATAAAGTGCCGTACAAAAGTCATTGAATTATTAGTGTCATTTTCTCTGAATTTGGAGCTTGGATTTCTACGCTCTAACGCATTGAAAATGAGGATAAACATAATCAGATTACGTTAATTCATGTACAATGCGTTTGTAGACGCATCCCCGCGCAAAACAGAGAAAATTCTCAATTCCGCATTATCGTTCAAAGAGGTAAACTTTCTTAAATTCTAGAGAAACCATAGAACACTACATCAAAAGTGCCATAATTAGGTACCAATTAAAAAAATAAACAAGATAATATGTAAAATTTCGATAGATGATTAATAAAACAAGGAAAAAAATCACTAAAGTTCTAAAATATTATCAAATATATAAAGTAATTATCTAAGTAAAGCAAAATCATAAATTTTGAATTATTAGACTCCGCGTCACTATGTTAGTTCAAACTTTTATATAAGCTAATGTTTTTAAAAATATAGCATTAGTCCGCACATTTTCTACCCCATCTTTTATTGCATACACCCCCTCATGTCAACAAGTTCATTGGAAATTTTACTCAATAATTTTCTAACACGTGAGGATCTTTTGAGTAGTGTGCAGATGCATCTACTTGCTCAAGGTTATGTTGTCTCTATTAAAACCTCAAAGAAAACAAATATGTTCTTCTTGGTTGCGATAGGGGAGGTAATTATCATGACTAGTATAATTTTTTTGTTGCATGTGTTGAGAAAAATCCCTCATGAGTTTTGAGGAATGACAAAATTATCTGTTACTGACCAGAATTACACTTAAGTTATTTGATGCAGGTAAATGCTGAATTATCAGACTTAGTCGATGAAAGGACTTTGTCATCAGACTCAAAATTACTCGTCAGATTCAATGAGTGTTATTTTTGGCAAGTTTATGCAGGATAATCAAATTGATATATCAAGATATTCAAATTGGCAATCACAAGATCGTTCCTTAAACACGAAGAACTACACTTATGGAAATCTTGATTTGATTGTATGGGCAATCAAATTACTCGGAGATAATGGTTCTTCTTCTAACGGCTATGCATTTTCTTTTGGGAAGTTTCTCCAACGGTTTAATTTGGAGATCAGTCCTCTGAAGATTTTCCAATGGATAGTTTGGAAGTAGAGGAGTATAAAAGGAGTGCAAACGTCGTACAAAAAAAGGAGAACCAGAATCGAGAATTCCAAAGTCCGAATAGAGCTTCGATCTTACACACTTGTGATTACTGTTTTTCACGTTGTGATTTTAGAAAGAAAATTACTTGAATGAAGAGTGTACGTGATAGTGTAGTCTATCATCTGAGAAGCACTGCTCTTGTAATCTTCTGGTGATTCAATAGTGAAACACAGCCAACAGGTTGCCAGCGTGGAGAGTGGACGTAGGCTCGATAAAGTTGAACCACTATAAAGATCTGTATGCAGTATTCTCTATCCCTAAACTTTTATTTATTATTGCTGACATTATACTGCATACATATCTGTCAAATAAGTTCGTCAGAACATCATCTTAATCATCAAACGCAATCATCTTACTACAACTTATTTACAAGTTTGTCATACGCATCCATCTGATATTAATCATATAAGTTGTTGATCTTAACTACATTCATTCCGCACGTTTAAATTATTCAATTTGGTAAAATCACCTATTCACTCCCCCTCTAGGTGATAGTACTAGCCGTAACAGCATGTAAGAGAAGAAAAACCAAATTTCGTTTGATTAACTGTCTATTTGAAGTTTATGGCTTGAAAAGGTAGGACTAATCTTGGTCACTCAAAATATTGAATGCATCACACAATCAATGATCATTCAAGCGTTATGTCCAAACATCCTACTTGTCTTCACTGAATAAAAAAAAAGTTGAGCAATTAAAATACATGAACTAGAACGCAATTGCACATATCAAAGTCACGATTAAATGAAATGCATCCATTAAACCTAGTAGATGATTCTTTTCACTCTAAGTTATAGTTGAACCGAATGCATTCGTTAAAACAGGTGGATGATTTTTTTCGCTTTTACTTGTTTTTTGTTATCTTTAGAATAATGGTTTCGTAATACAAAATAAAAAAAAAGTAATATACAACTCATTAACACAATAATTAGTAGACTATTTGTCAATAAAATTTTTCTTTTGACACCAATTATCCGTAAATAATTAGTTGACACCAATTTCGTCCCAAATAAAAAGAAGAATAAACCAAGCAAAAAGAAGGAAAAAAAGTAATAAATAAGATTAAAACAAGAGTGAGCCCCGCATTTGACCTTAGTTTTCATTGTATGGTTAGAATTGTAATTGAAAATTTTAAGTTCTAAAACAAAGCTATGGTGGGATCTATAGGAAGGCAAATGGGACCTAAAAAGATTTGAACTCGGGACTTTCTACTTTGATACCACATGAGATTTTTGTGCGACCACTGCTAACTATTCTAAAAGCTTAAGCTGTTAGATGAATTCGTGATTTAATATTTAATTATTATAATACCATGTGAGATTTTTGTGGGACTACTATCAACTATTCTAAAAGTTTAAGCTGTTAGATGAAGGTGTTGTTTAATATTTAATTATTCTAACAGGGTGTATGCAATGAAAAATGGAGTGAAAAGAAGGCGAGAGCCATTATATCATAAAAGGTCCCGATTGAATTCTTCGAACTCTTAATTAGCCTACCCGATTGTCTTCATAATTTTGCTAAAATAACTAATTAAATTCCCATCTCGCCACCAAATTCAAGTTATTAGACGGGTTGCTAGTACTTAGGAAAAAACACCTAAAACATCGTGGCCAAGTGCTGCATCCATCATCAATATCTGCAAACTATGACAAGACCACGAAATTATATCTTTTACAAACCGAACGCCGAGAATTAAACGCATGCACAAACAAATTGAAGAGGCTTAACCGAGAAAAATGCATCATAATAATGCAAACTTCAAAGACTCAACCAAAGAATATTGACAAAATGGCTCGAATCCTCTATGTGTTATTTGAACTAAAACCCAATGTGGAGTTGCCAATCCGTAGCATTTTGGACTTTTGAAAATCATGAGATCGCCTGTAGGGCTTGAGATCCTAGATTTCCCAAAATCTAGATGCAAATTAGCTACTAAATTGAATTATTCGAATTCTTGAAACGGAGAAAAGATGCTATCAATCATTTTGATTGAATCTAAATTGATGATGATTGAACACCTACCATACTTAAGCAGTTTTCGGAAATGAAGCTACCTAACATGTGTAAGAGGATTAGTCTATTTGTGTGATCAAGAGTTTTAGGTCTCCAAATTTGGTTAGGTGGGGAGAGTTAGCACCCCAAGCCGTCTTTATTGGGGCCTAATTCCTTAAAAAACCCTCAACTTTAAGTCAAGTCCTAAATTTGCTCCAAACTTTTTTTTGTCTAAAAAAACACCTCAAACTTTAGGTCCAGTTCCAAAACTGCCCCAATCTTTTATTTATCTCAGAAAAAAAAAATCCAAACTTTAAGTCCAGTCCCAAATCTGCCCCAAATTTTGTTTCGTGTAAAAAAAATCATCAAATTTCAATCTATTTTCAAAAATCTACCCTCATGATTCGGTCCCAACTTGACGTGGCACTTTCATGTCGATAACAAATACACACTCAGCAAAGTAATGGGGCCTTTTTTTAGACAAAGAAAAGTCCGGGACAAATTTGGATTGAATCTAAAGTTTGGGGTTTTTTTTAGACAAAAAAAGCTTTTTGGGGTGGATTTGTTATTGTCCCTAACTTTCATATCCTAGAACGGTTTTATTTTTGAAAATTTCCACAATTTTTATTGGATTATAGAAGTGGAAATGCGACGTCGGTCCGTACCTATCGCCCTATTACT